GAAAACAGAAGCAATGTTATGTAATAAAGCATCTTATAAGACGACAGACTTCAATCTAGACGATAACAGGGGCTATAAAAACGAGAAAAGGAGCCTCAGAACTGAGGAAGAAAAATCGACGATCTTAAATAACAACTTGAGAAAAAATGGAAAATAAAAGAATGAAGATTTTGATTCTACTGTTGCTGACATTATCTGCTTACTGCTTTGATAAAGATGGTAAGTCATTTAAATTCAGTGATTTCTCAATTAAATGTTACCAAATCTCTGCGTAATAAAACATGACATATGATAGGTGATGCACTGCAGACATTTTCTCAATAATTTGTTATAAGAATAATTATCAGGAACAAACAACTGGAAGCTTATGTGTTTTTCAACTCCCAGTATTTTTAGACAACCAGAAGTTTCAAGCAGGATTATTCACTAATAATGTGTAACTAAAACACTTACTAAATCCAATGTGCAAATTTAAAACCAAAATAAGCATACTGGAATTAAGATTGCAAATGAGGAATTTTCTGGTTTAGTTATGTTTGCCTAATTTTAGCAAATTCCTTTTGCAATTCAATTCATTGTTTAGTGAGCAGACCACTTAGTTTGGCGCAGTTGTGTTAAGCATATAATGGCCTGTTATTTGCTCTGTAAATAGTATAAAATGACTCACTTGACATGAGTAACAGCTAGAGACTTTCAAATGTATCTTGCGCAAGGTATGTAAAATTGGGCTGGTTGCATTTCTGGCAGAGATATGTGACTTTTATTCCTAGATAACAGTTTAAAATCATATTTTAATATGAGTTGAGAGAAAGTGTGGTCAGTTGCATTTCTAGCCAATGACTCTTCGATACTTATGTCACATATAGCAAGCAATTACTTGTGTACTATACGAAAATAAACAGCTCCCGAAAGAACGAAAATAAATAAAAAATACAATTAAAAAAAAAAAGTAACAGGACATGTAATCCAGAGAAATAATAATAAACACTGCCATTTCTGTTGTCAGAATTTTACTTGACTATCATGGACTCTGTAACCACAAGATTCCAAAATGAAACCAGAATCTTAGGGTGAAGTCCAAAAATAGAGATGGGAACTACACAGGAACCAGTTTGAATTACAACTACTTCATAGTCACAAATGACAAAAATATTATATAATAGAATATTAGTATATAAATGCCATCCCTAAATCATTATAGGATCCAATAAGAGACAATAACAGATTGCAGAAAAAACCCTGTTATTAAAGCCTTAAAGGGACACTATAGTCACCTGAACAACTTTAGCTTAATGAAGCAGTTTTGGTGTATAGAACATGCCCCTGCAGCTTCACTGCTCAATCCTCTGCCATTTAGGAGTTAAATCCCTTTGTTTATGAACCCTAGTCACACCCCTGCATATGACTTGCACAGCCTTCCATAAACACTTCCTGTAAAGAGAGCCCTATTTAGGCTTTCTTTATTGCAAGTTCTGTTTAATTAAGATTTTCTTATCCCCTGCTATGTTAATAGCTTGCTAGACCCTGCAAGAGCCTCCTGTATGTGATTAAAGTTCAATTTAGAGATTGAGATACTATTATTTAAGGTAAATTACATCTGTTTGAAAGTGAAACCAGTTTTTTTTTTCATGCAGGCTCTGTCAATCATAGCCAGGGGAGGTGTGGCTAGGGCTGCATAAACAGAAACAAAGTGATTTAACTCCTAAATGACAGTGAATTGAGCAGTGAAATTGCAGGGGAATGATCTATACACTAAAACTGCTGTATTTAGCTAAAGTAATTTAGGTGACTATAGTGTTCCTTTAAAGCTGCTCTGTCAACAGTGACATCCCCACTTGGGGTCCGGTAGCCAGGGGGCAGGGTAAGGTGAGATTTACTTAGCTGAACCTATCCCTCAGGTGTGCTGCCATCTTTTTTTTCCTGCTGCTCCTCTACAGCTCCTGGCACATCAGCTGCCAGGAGCCAACATCAGCAATGTACCTCTTTCAGTACCCTTAACAAAGCCTCCTGTAGATGAAACGCGTTGGATGAGAGGCTATAGCTGATTTTATCTGCATTTTATGCTACACGCTGATTGCACTGTTTTAAGGTGCTCAAACATGTGAGAGCACTTTTTATGGATCTTTACTGTGAATAAAATGATTAAACAATTCTATACCATGAAATTATTTGGTCTTTTATAACCTAAATTGATCTACATCCTTGCTTTGCTAAGCTCACGTTGCATGCTACATTGTGTAATCATGCATTTGAACTGCAGAGCTAGGCTCCTCAGTCTTGTTTATATGCTTTTCTATATATTTGTAAGTGTTCCAAAACACTGCAGAAATTGATAATGTTAGTAATATTAAGGAGTACTCCTCTTTAATTTGGGTGGTTTGTGAGGAGAACACATAATAGGCTTCCCAGAATAAGCCCCAACACTTTATGCTGTGGTGTTACTTGACAGTTATTGTTTATTTGCACATATAGTTATTTGCCACTGTAAGCCTAGATGTACCATGACTTACTCACTCAACGGCTACTGGGGGAGAAGAAATTTGTAGCCCCGATAAGGCAATATATCAATACTTATACCTGATATTTGAATGTATT